CTAAGAGACCAACCTATTAAGTAATCCAATAATTCACAGACAATTCATCCAAGTTGTTGTGTGAAAAGTTGGTCTGTTTCCAAGTCTCAACTTTTTTACAGACAGATTTAAGTGGCTTGTAAAACTGTCGACAGATAGCGCTTCACTCACTGAGCAGCTAATTAATTTCCGATCGATCAATATTTTGTTTGTTGTCGTATGACTAGTCGCGGCTAATTAAAACTGGCCAGTCCCTACATTCTTTACTGGGCTGTTGGTAAAGGAGCATGGCGGTGTGAACCCTTCTACTGTTTCATTACTGTACTGTTATGATGATTTTTTCACTTTGTGGTGAATAATAAAATATCCGGTTTGCGCGGTTAGACTGCACGAAGTTGGGAAAAGTGGTGGGGAACTTTTTAATTCTAGGGTATTCAGAGAATCAAAGTGTCCGCAAGCCAACAATAAGACAAAATCTCCTTGTTAATAGAATTTGAGGGCTCTTTAGGCAGTAGAGCAAACACTTTTCTGTAGTATTTCTGTAAAATCAGCTCCTACAATTAAACGGCAGAACTCATTAGCTGGTAAGGTCAGTGAGTTCATTCTCAGTTAATCAAAATTTGTGATATCTCAGGCGCGGCGTGGAAAGTTGATTTGCCGAAAAAAACGGAAGCATGTGAGGTTAAGGCTTTTGAGTAATTTTGGTATAATCCAATGCTTAGTTGACCTTAAATCTACTAAATAGTGTAAAAGGAGTTCCACAACCTCACATTCACTTGTCTCGGCATCCCAAATGACCCAGAAGTGTGAGTGAATTTCGTGGGAGCAGTAGCAATCCTTGGAAAATACCATGTCTCCATTTTGTTTAAGGTCCAGCTCTTACGATCAATTCTCAAACACTTTAGGACGGCATCACTTTTGATAGTATCTAGTTAAAGTTATGGAGTATGCACTCCTCCAGCGTTTTTTATAACAAAATTTGACGAATATTAGGCTATTATTACAGTATGCAAACAAATGCTGGGCGTGAATAGAGGATAATTTTCGCCTAGTTTAGGGGGTGCATAAATGAAAGAATTGAGTGATCTCAGGCTTTACCCACCTCTCGACTCAACCTCACAACTCTTTTGAGGATTGGACTAGACGAATGCCTTTCATTAGCACTGGCTCTACTGCAAAATTCATGAGAATTGCCGACATTCCATCAAAGCCAAATTGGTAATAACATCTGCGAGTTGTTGCATCTACTCCACTAGCATCGTGTGCTCTGACACTTCTCTGTGAGCCTGAGAACTCGCTTCTTTACAGCTTCAAGTTGCCAATACGAATTGAGAGGTGCACGAGCGAATGAATAGATATTTTGGTCGTGAATACCAACTCAACCGCCTCGTCTGGTGAGGACCCAAGTTTTCATCTCATGAGGATAACCCTACATAACAGGGTGATATTTGGTAGTGAATAAGTGGATGGTGGTGAAAAGGCTGCATGTGACTCTGTAAAGTGATTCTTCGGGGCGTAGAACGATCCCTGTTAGAGAACGGGTTCCACAAACTCATGCTAATTCACCTTCGCATTCCCGTTGACCCATTAAGGCGAATGATTTTCCTAATTATGCCCTTTTTCCCATCTTTGCCAGAAGCTTCCATTTTCATGGTTAACTCCACACCAGTTCAACTCGTCGTGACCTTGCTCTCCCCTTTTACTGATTGGGTGGTACCACGTTTGGATCGTTCCTGAGTGCACTAGTACCCACTACAAGGTCAATGCCAATTAATGCTGTCAATGTGCTAGACGGGAACGACCTCGTGACTCCAGCCTTCTTAAGTGGTGGGATAGCTTGTATGCACGTACACGCCATGCCCCTTTCCTTTACCGTCACTAAACCATCACATCTGTGGCGAGACCTCGTCCATTTGTGTTTCCGATTGGGGGCTCGACAGGCTCCAACTTCAGGCACAGAGATGCCAATTCGTCATGGATGTTGGCAGGAAGTTGGTTGGACAGAATTTAGTGATAGGCACAAGACACACGTCTGTTTTTGAGGCATTAAGTGAGGGACACATGGTTGCTAAAAGGTGGCGAATGTATGGAAGGAGCAGTAAATGCGATGCTGGAAGACTCTCAATTTGCAAGTCACCAGACATTTTCAAAACCGTCCTCCAAACTGATGATAACAGTGATTAGGTGAGTTGGTGGGAGGACGTGTTCACTCGTGTTCACTTGCAACCAGAGGCTGCAAGGCAAGTGGTATTTGGCGGATTGCAAATCTACCCTTTTTTGCATGAATGCAAACATTAGTGGTGACTGACTTGGCTGATTCAAATGAAACACTTCCGAATCATGAACCTGGCTTCTGCAAGACAAGGGTGACACTGCATGGACATTTTCGCTTATTTCTAAAGTTGAGGCGTAATGGAAGGTAGTCAGGCGAGGATCGCTCCTCACCGAATGACACTTTAAGTACTCTGAGCTCTGTGGCCATCCAAGTATGCCACTCAAGTGAATCCGTTTTACACCATCTGTTGCACAACATTGTCGTTAAACAGAGGGAGAGGTCAAAACGCAGAAATGGAGAAATCGCTGTCCCGCGGCGAGAATACGGCTTCCCTTCTTGTAGAGTAAAACCCACAAGCCCTAAGTCAGGGTCACCTATCGACGGAAAGCACTTTTACTGCTCAGAAATTAAGGAAGTAGCAAAATCCATCCTTAAGACTCCATGATTGTAAGATTTTGACTAATTACCGTGGTTATTCTTAACATCTTGATGCACTGGGAGGTTTGTGAGACACGTAATGATGGGGTTGGACACCCGAAGCCAGTGGACATAAATGCTTGCGCATAATTGTTCTCTCGTTAGAGCCACCGCAAACAAAGCCTTTCCTTTCTGCTATTAAAATGACCCCTCATGAAAGCAAGTCCCTTCTGTATAAAAAAATGAAGAAATGTATGCATGTATTTGTATTTACAGCACCATAAAGACCGAATCACTGAGTACGCGGTTTGGATTACGTGTCCATTAAATGGAATGGACAAACTTGAGAAGGAACGCTTTGAAGAGAACAGAAGAATGGAAACGTCTTTAGACAAGGAGATGTCTAGCC